TGGTGGCTCCCGTCTCTCATCCTGAAAAATAGCCATGACAATAAATGTCACATCTTGTTCTAGCTGACTTTTGGCATTATTCACAAGGAGGAGGGAACTAAACAACTCAATATTTACTATTTTCTGTTTCTCCTCTGTTTTCTCCAAGAAACAGGACAGGCACATAAGTGGACCTTGCTGACAGTCTGTCAGGACACAAAAGGCTCCATAAGCCAACCTCAAGCAAACTTTGAGAGTCACCAACACAGCCTTTCATCCTGCCCCTCTACTGGGATCTACCAAGGCGTGGATGAGTTAGCAAAGGGAATGGGTATACTCGTTTTTTAGCCAGTTGGGTTCACTTCACTCTGCTTTTTCACCTGAATAACAGCACAGTATATAACTACTGGGCTTTTACTGGGATCTGATGTACAGAGTGATCAACATCTACGGATGAAAAGCACAATAACAATGTCCTTTGTCTTGGGAAATGCTCTTTTTTTTTCCCTACCAAAATTTAATGACAATTTTTTAAAGGTTCTATTTGCCTTATTTTATTAAATCTGATATTTTTTTAAGAAAAGCAGTGGCTGTCTACTCCATAAAATATGGGCACAGGCAATGAGTACATCAAGGGCCTATTGCTGGCTGGCTAATTTCCACGTATCCTAATATGGTTAAGAAAATGTTTGACTGGAGCCCAGAGCAGAGTGCCAAACTTAACAACTCTGCAGCAAGCAGAGTGCCACAGAGTCCTCTGCTTAGACTCTCTGTGCAGGGCGTGCAGTTACTGCCTATTCTCATGAATTAGACCCTAATTATACTTCTGCACAGTTACACAACCCAGACCCTTTTGTTCTCTCTCCCCTGCCAGTGAAGATTAACACTTGCTGCCGTACAAGGCCTTCAGAGGCAGCAGCTCGTTGGAGTGTTTCCCTTCTTGGGCTAGATATATTAAGGAAATCCTGGGTATCCTGAGGATATAAAAGCACACCCATTGTATGAGGCACACTGCATTTGTGTAAATAGCAAGGTTTTCAAGGGCTCCAATGCAAGAACACACTTTCTTAATCTACTGCTAATGTACACGAGATATTTTACAATATCAAGTCTGTATGCAGGGCAGGTATTTTCCTCACTATCTGTCTTGCTACTGCTGCCACTTATGAAACTTGGCAAGGTGCAGTTTGCTTACCTGCCTCTGAGCCCACTGTAAAAAGAATTTTGCCCCCTTGTGTTACATGTTTGCTTTTCTGTCTTTCAAATTTTGCCTGGCAGCAAGTGGTTTAGAATTTTTGAAACAGTTAAGCCAAAAGAGGGTGACAAAGCAAATGAATGACATTATTAAGGTCAGTCTTCAAGTCACACTTCAGTCTTCTCACTTATTCTTTTATCTAATGGCACCAAAATCATTGCAAAGTCTGATAATAGGGATTTGGTGACAGGGGTAAAGTGGATCATTGAGTTTATATCAGCAAAACAACTCCCTTCAGGCCTTAAAAGAGCTATACTACCTTGATTATGCAAAAGCATTAGCTGGCCTCTCTCAGATCATTTCCTATGAGATCATATGCAGACTTGGAAACAGAAGGGACCAGTTTCAGGAAGTTTGGAAGCCTTTTATGGATTATATTAACAAGGTACAAGCTGTTCCCTAAAACTGATTGTACATCAAATTCCATTGCAGCCACGTGCCCTTGGTTGGAATGCTAAAGCATATATGATAGTACCAACAACCACCAAAAAAAGCAGCAATTCTGTCATTTAATCCCCGTGACTTTTTTTTTTTTTATTTTTTTGCTTAGTGAGTATGAATTGTAATTTTTCGGGATGCAGATAGCACACAAGAGGTTACAGTGGTAAACTTTCAAGTATCCTACAGAGTTGAGTTACAACTTTAGTTAAATACCTGTCTTATTCGGTAGAAATAAAAAGTGCTACACTGCATGATTTTGGAATGATACCTAATAACTATTAGAAGTCAGTTTTCCTTTTTCTTCTCTGGTAAGTACTAACAGAAAAATGTAGATCTACACAAAACCAGATCCGTGCTTGAAAAATACTTTTTCTTGCTATTTGAAGCCTCACCTGATGTATTTACTACCAAACACATTTTTCCAGCCAGTTCACTTACTATACATTTAGTCTTGACGTAAAAAATTAGAAAGCCCACCAGCAACTGCACTCCTTTTCCAAGAATTAACGCTCTGCATTTTCTTATTTTTTCGAATTTTACATCTAGACATTATTTTCCGGGGGATGCACATGGATGAGGCAGATGCCTGACATGCACCAATGATTCAGCAGACCCAGGAGTCTATAAACACACATCAAATGCTGTAATTCTGTCTGGAAGTGTGACAGCATTTATGAAGGCTCTGGCCTGCAGGATCTTTAGCAAGGCTTAGGTATCATTTGGGTTTCATATTAACTCTTTGCTGATGCATAAATTGCATGCTGAGCTTTATAAGACCTGGACTGTGAGAGGCTGAATTTCACTGTGGGAGGCAAACTAACCTGTTACTGGAATTAGATAACTTTCACCTATTTGTTAGCAATGGTATTAGCAGATTTTTCAGTTGAAAGTAACACAGTATTTTCAAACAGCATCTCTCAAAGAAAAGTTATAATCTTCCCTTCCATTTACAGAAGGGGAAGAGAAGCATGGATAAATGAAGTGCAGTTACCTACCCAAGGCCAACTGGTCATTCAAGAGCAGCACCTCTTGCCTCCCAGTTAAGTGCTTTCCCCCATGGAGTTGCACTTTTCTCCTACCATCATTGATGCTATGGCTGGAGAACCAAAACACTTAGAATTAACATTCCCCCACCAATAAACTGCCATCTCTTACTAGAAATAAGACACATTTTTGTTCTTGTTGGGACGGGAGAGATATAAGAAGCACCTGAGCAGAGGAATGAAAACCTCATAGATTTATTATAATTTTTTGCTATCTGTTTTGCTGTGCCAAAGAGGATGCAACAATTGAAAAACAACCATTGCCTTCGCTTCATTTGTGGAATAACTAGCCCTGGTACAATCTTCTGGGAATCCATCCTTAGAGCCTTGCTCGTTGCTATTTATAACTGAGTAAATATTAGAGGATTCACATCTTTTTCCCTGAAAAAAAAACAAGACCTTTGGCCTTAACATTTCTTTGGAAAGTGTTTCAAAGAAGGCTGTTGCCCTGCAGCAATATTTCCTTCCATTAAAATTCCCTCTTAAAATATATATGGCCCAAAAGAGGAACACTAGACCTCAAGTATACCACAAATATGGATAAGTCTGCCTGCAGGCATTTGGAGACTAGGAATTTGCCCAAAACATTATTCTTAAAGAATTAACCAACTCTCTGTCAGCATAGTTAGCAGTCTCAAAAAAAATATTTACTTTGACACGCCTGTGTCAGGACAGCTCACCAATTGAATATTTCATGGTTTTTCACTGCTTAGTGATTAATTATTCCCAAGGACAGCAACTGGAGCCTTTACATTTTTGTGTGAAAATAAAAAAAATGTATTTGGGAGCCAATACTGTCCAACAACCTAACTTTTAGGTTTTTATTCTCCTGGCTTCAGCCCAGCTCACCCTGCCTTTCCCTCATCTTCTCATACGATCTGTGACACCCAGAGGCCAGAAGAGCAGGCAAGCTAAGGCTGACCACACGAATTCAATATGTGCTCAGGATTCTGCTCTGCTTGGGACACTTGAATTTGCCTGATGAACACCAGTAATCATAAAAGGTAAACTAAAAAAATGGTACAAGATAGGCAACATGATTCAGAGACAAGCCTTTATCTGCTATTCACTCACTGAAAGTGAATTTGGACACAATAACCATCAGCTCTGCCACATATATGACCATGGCTTCTTAAGATGCTTACAAAACATTACCCTTACGGGAAAAGCCAAGATGAGATGTGTGATATCCCTCATCCAAGACAAAGCCCTTGACAGTGGCCAGTCATTTCAGAGGGGTGTTCGACAAGCAGGGTAAGCATTCAAGGCAAGTCCTTTCATCACCTCCTCATGGAGGTTAGCTTCTTCACTCAAATTTTAAATACTTTTTAATTGTTTTCCTTAGTCTTTACTACAATAACTCTGTATATTATATCACTATTTAATGTAAATGTTCCACCCTCTCGGATCAGTGAATTTGCTATGCATGACATCATCACCTCAACCTGTGTAGTCAGAATGATGGAGTTTCCACATTCTTCCGCTTGGAGCAATTTGTGCTAAACAGCAATTATAAAACAAATGCAGCCTGGGAGCATTTATTATCATCATTGCTTAGCAAGACTCCTATTAAGTGCTGAAGCAACAGTCTTTTGAAAGACTAATTTCCTCCCACCTGGCAAGCAGAATTGTTTTACGTGTCCCTATCAAACTAAAACCAGAAGACCTAGGGAATATAGAGTCACTGACTTTGCTAACATATCATCAATATTATTATCTTAATGACATATAATAGTCTCCATATTCAAACTTTTCACTGGGAGAAAGACTAGTATGGCTGTTGAGCTGACCTGATTACCTCAGTCTGTACCCTGAGTCTACAACTGATGTGTGTGCAAAATGTAGGTTTAATGACAAAGACACATAAGAATTAGGCCTCTCAAGGGAAAAAACTCTCCCTTTCCATTCAGGTAATGTCCAGGGAGCAGTGGAGCCACAACTTGGAAGAATTTCTCCAGTGTTTCAGAGCTAGGTTACTATGCACATACATACTTATAATCCTTAGCACACAAAACACCAAGTAAAGGAAAGATCAAGGTGGAAAATTCACAAATACACAAGTAATTTCTAACAGTCAGTTTAATCAAGGACTACCACAAAGTACCTTCCAAATCAGGCTGATCATTAACCCAGAATGACTCCTTCCCACACCAGACTTTGAGCTTTAAAGGAAACTAAGCTAACATTAAAGTGCAGCTTATGATAGCAATTGTCCCAATTGAACAGAAAATAGCTCCAGAAAAAAAATAAATCATAATATAAGCATTAATAGCATGTCTCACCAGATATGATGCCCCTGAGCCTGGAAGAATGCTGCCTCTTCAGCTCACAAGGAACTCTTTGGGTAACCAAACTTATCACAGGAACTGGAAAGACAGAAGTGTTTACGTGGGGTAATGAAGAGTGCACCAAAGGCAGAAAACCTTCCCAGTTAGGATGATCTAGAAAGCAGACCAGACCTTGATCCTTGCTGCAGTTGGTAGACACTAATGCATCACTGACTTTAACTGACTTGCAGCTCGTATTCTTTTCCCAATGACTTCTCCGAGACAAAGAAACTCCCAAGCAAGAAAGGGCAGACTTCTCCATGCATCTTGAGTCCCCTTAAGGAAAAGAGTGGCTTCCACTCACAGGGAAAACTGCTCCATTCACCTGATCCTCCTGTCATGACCTCAACCCAATCACAATGTAACGTAATCCTGAGAACAGCCTGGGAAACATCAGCCGCAGAACTGAGAATGTTAATATCCAAACTGCACCGATTAATATGGAGCTAAACCTGATTAAGCTAAACCCCATGAGTCAATTCAGAAAAGAAAAAAAAAAATCTGAGGGAATTCCCTATTTGTTTTGGCTATAGACCAGCACAGTTCTTTGATTGCTGGCTGCCTTCAGTCAAAGATGCAAAAACATTTGGCTACTTCTGCATAGCTGCTGGATTGCATTCACACAGTTTTCAGTGACAGGTTTTTTGTTTGCCCTTACATGTACTTTGCCACTTCGTGACTGCAGCAGTGATGGAACAGCCACCTTCAAGTAATAATTGGAATAAATGATAGCAGTTTAGACAGCGTGTACTGTGAAAAAATTGCCTCTGAGCCATGTCTCAGAGGAAGAACTGGTGGGAGCTCCTGGGAGAATAGACTTAGATCTCCAGCCAGAAGTAACATAAGCCACTTGGGAAGCTTGCTCAGGGACTCTGGTGGCTCACATCCAGTTCCACCTAGAGAGGCAGTGAAAAGACAAAATTTCCAAATGTCCATAATCTCAGAAGAAAAAAGATGGAATTACAGGTGCAGAGAAATTTTCTTTATCTGTTAAACCAGGTGAAGAAAGATCACCAAAATTAGCTGGTTTCACAATCAGCCTTTAATTAGACAGAGTTTATTCCCTGTTCTACACCTAATCAACACAAACATCAGGTGGGCTCAAGGTTATTCATTAGTCACTGGTTTGAGAAGGAGATTAGACAGAACTCTGAAAAAATACACCACACTTTTGCAACTGACACTGCATTTTTGCACCATTTCTTCTAAACCCATAAGCAGTAGTGAGGTTGCTTATCTTATAGAATTTTAAGGTGTTCATATTAATTTTATACTGCCTGCCAAATGAGGTCTTAGGAAGGCAACACTACCAAGATGGAAAACCAGAGCTGTGTCCAGCTAAGATGACAGTTCATACAGGGAACTCTGTTCTGGACCTAAAACTGCATCACAGTAAGTACTGAAAAATCCACTTTTTCTGAGGTTTGCCAAATCCAGGAGATCGGGTGAAAGGAATGCAGATTCCCTTTGATCAATGCAGAAGTCCGAGTTACAGTACTATTACAACCTCAATAAAACTCCTATCAAAGTTAATGGCAGTTGAATGTTCTAATCCAGAGAAAAATCTAGATCTATCCTTGCATCAGTAAAATGCAAAACTACTCCAATCATTAGTAAAATGGAATGACTGACATGACATTCAGGAGTCATGTAGCTACACAAGGTGAGCCAGTCCTTTCAAGCAGATACTCAGCTCTTACACCACTCACCCAGCACAACTTTCTGTAGCCATGAAAAAAGAAATACACCACCATTTACATACAACAAAGAAAATAAATTCAAAGGTGCAATAGTACAGTTAAGCAGCACTAAATTCTCTAACTTCCTGACTGCTGACATGTTTCAGAGACATTAGTCTTAATCAGAAGAATATCTTTTCTAGGACCTTCACTTAGCCTTTTTTCCTGTGACACCTTAACATCACCTCATTCCTAAGTGTTCTCATTCACAAGGTACTTAAGCACTCTTCTCACCAATCAAACAAGATTACTCATCTTCTTTAAGTTAGGCACACATTTGCTAAAGCAAAGCCAAAGCACACACACACAGGTATACTCCTGACTAAGGACACTTTTTCCTTTCATGCCCTGTTTTTTACTCTGTAGTCCAAAGCACAGTACCAAAAAAACCCTAAAACAAAACTGAATCTATTTTGCCACATATCTTCAAGGATTCCTCACTGAAACAAAATTTACAAATATATTTCACACCATTTCCTACTTAGAATGACATTTGTGGTGCATAAACTCTAGCTTTGTGCCCTCAAAGCTATCAAAAATTGAATTATCTCCTAAAAGCAGAATAGTAATGAAACTTGCCTATGGGACCTGATGACATGCATCTTGAGTCCTGAGAGAACTGGTTGACATTGTTCCCAAGCCACCCTCCATCATATTTGAAAAGTCATGGTGGTCGAGCAAAGTCAATGACCGGTGACTGGAAAAAGGGAAATATCGCTCCCATTTATAAAAAGGGGAGAAAGGAAGATCCAGGGAACTACAGACAGGTGAGCCTCATTTCCCTGTGCCTGGGAGGATTATAGAGCTTATCCTCTTGGAAGATATGTTATGTAAGGAGATGACCCAAGACAGCCTGCAGGGCTTTACTAAGGGTAAATTGTGCCTCCCCAGTTATGGCCAGATAGTGACAGGACAAGGGGCAATGGTTTTGCACTGAAAGAGGGCATGTTTAAGTTATATGCTAAGAAGAAATTCTTTACTCAGAGGGTGGTGAACCACTGGAAACTGGAACAGGTTGCCTAGAGGAGTTGTGGATGCCTTATACATGGAAGTGTTCAAGGCCAAGTTGAATGGGGTCCTGAGCAACTTGATGTAGTGAATGGCATCCCTGCACATGGCAGAGGAGTTGCAACCAGATGATTTCCAAGATCCCTTCCAACCCAAACCATTTTATGATTCTATGATCTATGAAATGGAAGACTATGAATGAGTGAATACTAACAACTAGACAGGATTGAGTCAGGGGAGCTTTTTTATCCACTTTTTGATGTACTTTCATACTTTTTTATACCGTATAGCCTGCAAAATATCAAAGTCAAGTGACACCATCAACTAATAAGCTTGTATACAACTAATCTATTTGGCTCATACTCAAGCAATCTCTGGGTGACATACCTAGAGAAAAGTTGCATTTCTTGCACTTCTTTCCTAAAGGAGGCCAAAGTGCAACACAAATTAATTTACCTTATTATTTCTTTAATCTTTCCTATAGATCATCTCATCATTATATTTACTTACATACTGATCAACCAGGTTGGGGAAATTGAGGTTTGGGTACCAAACCCAAACAGCTGCAGAAATACAAACTTTCTCTTGCTCTTCAAGTAGTCAGTACTGTCTTTCTTTCATAACTCTGTAACTAGAGATAGCTACTTCTAAACAAAAAAGTAGACCATTGAACATTTTTATAAGCAAACTAAATCATGTTTTTCTATTGCTCTTTTCCACTGTGAAATTCTGTTCTCTGTAGGAAGGGCGAAATGATCATTGTTAGAAAATAAAGTCATCGCAGTTTGGAACACAAGGCATCACTCTAATAAATTTCTGAGAAATTCCTGCCCTTCAATTTAACTTGACCACTATAATAAGCAATCTGGGATCTGCAGTTTACTTTTTCATACTGAAACAAGCTTTGTGTAAACACGGTATAGGATGATAGTTCTTTGCAGGCCAAGCAAAATAACCAAATCTATGTTGTCTATCTCTCTCCCCTTCCTCAAAATAAAAACTGATGGCACATTACAAAAGAAAAAAAAAACAAAACCAACCAAAAAAACCAAACAAACAAACAAAAAAACCCAAACAAACAAAAAAAAAAAAAAACAAAAAAAAACCCAAAAAAAACCACCACCAAACTGTAAGTTTTCTGAGCTAGTCCTTAAAAGCTGGAGTGCCTATAAGTTGTCCGGATCATTTTAGAGCACAACTTCTTAATGGTTTAGGCCATTTCGGTGACATGAATGATTGAACATGAGATCTCATTCACTGTTACACTGCTGGTTATCTGATATCAGATCAACCCAGGTGATACGAGCACAGGAGCTGCAGAATCAGGCCTGAGCTCTGAGGAAGATGAGTTGCACAATTTTGCACACACATCCCGTTTTACAAAGTCGGGGGCCTGCTGACAACAGGTGCCTTCCCACATCAGTAAGTAACAGTGCCAGGACATTACACACAGATTAGAAATTGGGTTGAGGCTCTGTAGTCTCTCACATCAGGGCAATCCTGGTGGGTCTGTTCTATGATATTAAATGTGGGAACACTTAGGTGGTAGAGCCTGCACTAGCAAAAAAAAACCAATGGCACGAGGGCTACCTATTTCCATTCTCGTGGAAAGAGCTTGGTCCTCTTTTCTATAACAGAAACAAAGAAACAAAATTACTTACTTCATTGCAACAGCCATGAAAGACCATAACCTTTGGGGGACCAAAATGCTGAGGACAACTCTTCCCATTATGGCACAAAAATTTGAATACCTACAGAAATCAAACCTGGATTTCTGAACGTCTTTGGAGCCCTGGCTTAGGGCATGAGGCATGAATAGCAGCCAAAAAACTCATTGAAACCTTATCTGGTATGGTGCTGATTCAGAGGAAAGCACTAGATGTGCTGAATTACCTTGTTTCCCAGCAATTCTGGTTGCAGAAATTCCCAGGGATTACTTGGTCTGGTTTTATTCAGCTCCTAGGATCAAAAGGCATCCAATAAGTGGGTCTGGGCTGCAGACATTTTAAAGGAGACAAATGGCAAAAAATATCTTTCAGTGCAACCAGATATATCATCTTCTGCCTCTTACCTGAAGAGGCAACATGAAAACCACCACAGCAGAATCTCCTTGATGCCCTAATAGCAAGCAACCCACAGTGAAGAACCACATATATAGAAAACCACATTGAAATGCTCAATAGGGTAGTCATCCTCAGATGAAAATTCCTAACTATTACAGCTGAACCAGGCTGAAGACTAAAATTTGACAGAAAGGTGTAATAGGTTGCAGCTCATAGACTTCTTGTGTGCTTTTGAAAATCTCCCTTAAGATGTTATTTTTAACAAGCTTTTTATATAAATATATATGACTGATGAAAGGATTATATTAAAATGGCAAAGCAATAATTCTACCTGTTATAACAAGGTAACTTCTTTTACACTTTTACCTTACCTATTAGAGTAAGTCTTTGAATTTCTACTTTAACAGCACAGACACCTAAAGCAGTTTTGTCTGTTAACTGGAAATAGAGCAGCACAGTTTTTCCACAGTATTTTTCACCAGTGATGAGAAAAAGCACAGTTAGCCATAAGCCTTGCTCAAAGTACAGCATTTAGTCCCCTTCATAACTCAAACATGAAGCTGAATTTCTGATGATTTCTGTTAACAACACCTTGATGACAATGTGTGATAGTCCATTACATAACAGGAAAAAAAAAGTAAGGCAGGTTGTCTGTTGTTTCCTTGTCAGCATTCAAAAACACAATGTGTGTGTGAATGTTGCATGTGCAGACAGAACCCTCTTTCAAAATCAGATATTTTTGGTTAACACTCCCACCATTCACCCATCTGTCCTACTGCCTCTATCAGTTCTGGACTCGATCATCAACATAAGTATTAGAATTTTAGAAAAGAATGGCTTTTTGAAGAACCTTTAATTCCTGCATATATTTACTGCAAAGAAGGTCATGACCTATTTTACTTATATTTTCCCTCTGACATTTTTGTTCCATGTTTTTCTTTATAGGAGACTAAAAGATAGAGATTCTGTACATTTTTGTGGGACAACTGTATTGGGCAGCCAGCCCATTCCTAAGCCAATATCAGCAGTGAATCTATAGCTCAAAGAAAACTCTGAGGAGACAGGGGTCTGTGGGAGGAAGGTTTTGTTTGGTTTTGATTGTTTAAATCTGCGAAACTATTTTTGACAAGTTTGTCATCAGACTCACAAAGGAAGAGTGGAATTTAAAGCATGATCTGCTCTGAAGGATCTCTAGAACCCAGTCTCACTATGCTGAACACCTTACCTACACTCAGCTCCCGTCCCTGAGGTTACTCCAATTTTAGTACACACTGGCAGACCTAGTGAGTGTTCCCTGAACATTTAAACTGACCATTGGTAGCCTATATTTATAAAACACATATTTTTTACCTCACCACATTTTCCTAACTTATTTCACTGGAGTTTCAATGTGTGCTGATGTAAGGAATAAAATACAAGCCAAACAATATTTTGCCCAGCCAGAGACTTTGCTACACGGCTGCAATTTACCCTTTGTTCAAAAAAATAGGTTTTCACAGCAAAGGTCTTCTGATAGACATCAGGAGGACAATTACAGTTCTACAAGTGGGCAATGCACTGAGCTGTGTTGTCACCGTACACCCAACATGACTTCGTGACAGGCTAAGAGTTGGATGGGACTGAAGGTTATGTCAGCAATATGAAGGCATAAAACTGTCACAAAGCTGTCAAAGCCACACATTTGGAGATAAAATCCAAGATAAGGCAGCAACTTATTGTTCTGGAGCAAGGAAGACAGCTAGACAAGGAGATATGACTGCGAGCACGCTGAAGACAGAGCATCAATGGGTGTTCACAGTCTGGCTGAGCCCTCTCTGGCCCTCAGTTCATTCCCACACAGGGCAGTCAGGGAGCCAGCAGTGAATCACTCCTGGCTAATCGATCCTAATCGATCCCAGCAGCCAAGCAAAAACCTAAACATGCCCAACACACTCCCGTGCCAGTGGTCTGTCCTTTGTCACATTCTTGCACAGTGTAAGGAAGGTCTGCAAGGGCAGTGTCTCCCCCTAGTCAGCAGGACTTTGAACACCACCCCCCCTCGAGCATTCTGGGCTCCTGCTTTTTAACCTCTAGCCAGCACTGTTTCCATGCTGGAAACCAACAGAACAGCTTCTGTAGCACTTCCAGAGAAACACATGCACGTGCCTCTGACAGACTAAAGATAAGAAGCAGGCAGTTCTTTGCTTGTTTGGCTGCTGAAGATCTGCTGCTTTTAAAGCACACCTTTCAATTTTCACTCCTAATCCTAATAGAAGCATGATTCTGTGCTAGTTAAACATTTCACAGAAGATCTACAATGTCCATTCGTGTAACTAAAGGTACATTGTCAGAGTTTAAAGCTATTTTCCTTTTTGCCATTAGGTATAGCAGGAATCATACCCTCCTTTACAAACCTGGGAGCTTCTCAGAAATGCAAATTTCACTCTGTTTGAGATTGGTATAGTTCACATAGCTTATTAATGAAACATTGGGAAATCTCAGAATAGAGAGAGACTCTCACAGAATCCCACAATTCCATGAAAAATCCAAAGACAGGCTCCTACAGCAATCAGTAGCAACTCAAACACTCTTCATGCAATAAAGGGCAACATATAACACATATTTTGTATTTAAATGAACCAGCTAATTGTGTCTTGGAAACAGAAGAGAGAAGCAAAGAGAAACAACATTTATCAGAAAATATATCTACTGAAGCAAGTTTATTTTAAGACATTTTAGTTGAAATATGCTTGGGAAAAAATTATAATGAGCCAATTGAAAAAATGCAGTACCAACAAAAAATACTGCATCTTTTTCATTTGTTAGGAGTCTAGTTTATTTCATAGATTTTAAGACACGTTTAAGATTCCATAGGTTTAGTATTACATCACTAATGGTTCATAATGAAATTCCAGGCGATAGCAAAAAAAGAGATTTAATGATAGTACCACACAAGATATGGATGTGGGGCCCTTTGAGCAGATTTCCTGATAGGAATGTTGAATATGGGTTAAAATAACACAGTTGTCTGGCTCACTTGTGCATGCTAAAATGCCGTGTGACAGAGCATGAGTTATGCTATTACTTGAGTCTCTTTTAAGAAGTTAATCTAATTCTACCCTCTGCTGGATTTTTCAAAAGATTGCTATGGCTCTATGACGCCATCAACCATTTTTAATAGTATTTTTTCTGTTTTCATATCCCATCCATCTTCTTGATGAAGAATATTTTCAATGGTTTTAGTAACATGTTTGGTGCTAGCTGGACAGTGAGATTAGTGCTATTCAAAGCACAGCATGACACAGTGGCAGAGCACTTGGCTGGCATCACCTCCAGTTTGGTGCTGTCTCATGAGTAATTCTTTTTTGTGCTTCAGTTTGTCAGTGGCAAAAGGGAAAACAACGCCAAACTACTTTGTAAAGATCTTTGAGATCAACACAGAAAAAGCAATGCCTGAGCTTGATTGCAATGCCTTTTTTTACTATAGAAGGAAGGTATCTTTTAAAGATTTGTTTAAAACTAAGTAGTAAGAAAGCTATTTAACATCTTGGAGCTACACAGGGTAAAAAGTCATTCAGAATAATCATCTACTTTCTGCAGGTAGATAGCCTCAGTCTGGGAAAGACGAACAGAGTCCAAAGCCATATAAACTGGCATCAGTGTATAGGGAATTTTCTAAACTCCAAGATATTGACTGTAACAACATTTGCCCCAAAAGAGAGCTCGATACAGTATCTCAAATAAACGGTTGCTTTGCCAGTTCCCCAACAAATAATTCTCACTAAAGTTTTCAGTTTCATGTTTTTATGTCAAAGGCACACAAAGAAAGCAAAACATTGCGGAAATACTGAGGAAAAAAAGTCTGTGGAAAAATATATTCAACGAACCACCTTTGTTTTAACATGCAGGACAGGACTATGTTGTCAGATCTGTGACAAGTCAGGCTGACATTTGAGGACCAGCATAAAAGAAAAGAAACAAATGAACTATTGAAAATCTTCTTTGATTACAGTGATGTTACTCATGGGTCACCCAACAATCCATGTCACAAGCATCAGACAGATCTGAGCTAATAGAAACATTTTCCAGTAGGGTCCTGACAGTGCAGACAAGATTTACACCAAAGAAGTTGCTTCCACTCGAAGGAACTACTCCTGACCATTTATGGAGTATGGGGAAAGCACACAGCCCAGCTTGGATCCTGCAGCTCAACCTTCCACAGAATTCAATTCCCATCTCATGTGAATATCAGGCAAGCACAGCACACAGATCATCATTATTTGGCTTATTACACACACATAAAAGAGGAAGTAACCCAAGCATAGAAACAAATTTTCAATACAGAAAAAAGTAAGGATGTGTGTCAGAACAGGTCTCACCTTTAGCACTTCAAAGGACGCGTTTAATTTTGGTTAAAAACTGATATGTGAGACAGAAGACATGACTCCCCCGCTAAGCTTACAATTAGTGCCACTTGACAAATTAAGGAGAAATATGAAAGAGCAAACACAACTTTGATCTACTACAAGAGCCAGACGATTGTTTTACATCCCATGATTGTGTGACAGTATAAAATGTGAACTTAACAAGGTTGTTTGAGGACTTTTTATATTATGCTTGCACACTCATTGTGATCGGGTCAAGATTTTTATTTAACTGGTCCATTTTATTCCAGAAGAATAATGAGTTTTGATGAAACCACTACAACTTCTCCTATCTGCCAACAATGAGAAGTAAAAATAAGTAGGTCTGAAGTGTTTCTCTAGTAGAATTACTGTCTACTGTACTGATTTACATAGCATTCAATTTGAATCAAACCGAAGCATCAGGCATACTTAGGATGTAGAATGAAAACACTCCACATTTATGAACTAAAAATTCATACAGAATTTACAGATATCTAGTAGCCTAGGATAC